TAATGTGCCTACTGGGATCTATGGAGAAGGATTCTCTCCTCGATTTGCAGTAAAAACTGGGTAGCGCTTAGTGCTGACTGCTGGGCCTCCTCTAACATTACATGGGCCTCGTGCAGTCTAATCACAGGCTTAATTGGCATTAATTGCAAACACACTGCATTATATACACAGTGTGTTTGTGTAGTGTATGCGTATATAATGGAGTGTGTGTGTGTTTGTATAGTGTGTGTATATAATGCAGTGTGTTTGCATAGTGTGTGTATATAATGCAGTGTGTTTGTGTAGTGTGCATTATATACACACACACTATACAAACACACTGCATTATGTGTTTGTGTAGTGTATGTGTATATAATGCAGTGTGTTTGTATAGTGTTTATATAATGCAGTGTGTTTGGGTAGTGTGTATCTAATGCAGTGTGTTTGTGTAGTGTGTATATAGTGTGTTTGTATAGTGTGTGTATATAATGCAGTGTGTTTGTGTAGTGTATGTGTATATAATGGAGTGTGTGTGTGAGGGGGTGTTTTTTATTAAATTATAATTTTTTTAGATTTAATTATTATTTATTTTTGTTGTCCCCCCTCCCTGCTTGTTGCCTGGCCAGGGAGGGGGGATATAGCATTCCTGAGCTGTGGGGGGCGGGCAGCAAGCGTTTACTCACCTCCCAGCAGCTCCTCCAGCTCCCCAGTGTATGTCTTGCGAGAGTTACACCGGGGAGCTGGAGGAGCTGCTGGGAGGTGAGTATGCGCTTGCTGCCCGACCCCCAGGACCGCCGGGTATGTAATGAGCCTGGCGGTCCTAGGAGGTATTATCGGCAATATCGGTATCTGAATTGGCTGATACCAATATTGCCAAAAATACAGAATATCGGCCGATTATATCGGTAAAACCGATAATCTGTCAATCCCTATTAGGTAGTCAGACTCTTAGTTTTGTACACAGTTGTGTGTTTTGTTTTTTGCAAAAGTTAAGGCACCTTGCTGGTCAAAAGGCAGCCTCATTTTGCTTTTTTTCCCCAACTTCTTAAGCTTTTAACTCGCCGCTCCAGATCACCTTTCCCTTTCTCCAGAAATGCCCAATTCTCCATCATAGAGCTATTTAGATTGATGAAACAGGGCTTGGACATGCCTTTTGGTGAAGGGTACTAGGTCCTCATCTCATATTACCCATTGCCAGTAATCTGTACTGGGCTTTGTCTGGGCTCTCTATACAGTACACGTTCAGTTATCAGTTTATTTGTAGCAAAAGGAAAGTGTCAAATACAATGTTGGAAAAAATATATAAATCGCCTTTATTTCAGCATCTTCAGTTTATGCAAGAGCAATTACAAATGGAAAAAAAAAAAAAAGAGCGAGAGAGAGAGAAATTTGTGTTTATACCTTTCTCAATACCTGAGGAGTCATCTAATGAGCTATAATGAACTATGAACTAGCAGGGACATAGTTGCCATTTTGGATTGCATGGATTGACGTCTCTGATGCAGGAATGATGGGATATTGGGCAGTCTAGAGTGAACATCCTGACTCAAAGCTTTATATGTATGCCCCACTTCAGTGTGTCCGGGGTTGGCTGGATAAAAATGGATGAGAAGATTAACAGCAGATCAAACAAAAATAGACATCTGCCCATCTGCCAGTTCTGTCCCATGACAGATCAATATGAGCAAATAAACTTCAGAATATTAATATATTTCTATTAGCTTAGCCTTAGACATCAACATTGCACAAGTAGAGTGACACCTAGTGGACAAATTTGGGATTTAGGTAATCTACGCACTTCATGTTCTATATAATATAATATAATATAATATAATATAATACACGTATACGTGCACTATTTCTTATTAGTGCTCACATAACCAAATTGATAAACACCAATGCACAAAAACTGTTTTAGCTTACCTATTTTATAATATTTCTTTATTACCTACAATACTGGTTATTTCTGCTTGTCCTCATCTGTAAATTGCACAAGCAGGGTGACACCTAGTGGCAGAATTGTAGAAAGCGTTCTTTGTCGGTGTACAGTCTTTCATGTTAAATAATTCAGTGATTCACTATGGCAATTGCTCTGAAGTATAAAAGGGCCACCTCACCAAAAAAAAAAAAAAAAAAAAGCTAGGCAGCATTTCATCTTTATTATTTATAGGGCATTATGTTTTTATGATCACGAGTGAATCATAAAGTATACATTGCTCTGTCAAAAGTCAGTTATGTTAAAAATTTCTATATTTTTTTAAAGGGACACTATAGTCACCAGAACAACTACAGCTTATTGAATTTGTTCTGGTGAGTAGAATCATTACCTTCAGGCTTTTTGCTGTAAACACTGTCTTTTCAGAGAAAATGCAGTGTTTAAATTACAGCCTAGTGATAACTTCACTGGCCACCCCTCAGATAGCTGTTAGAGATCCTTCCTGGGTCATGGCTGCCTAAAATGCATCCAAACATTCAGTATTTCCTCCCTCTGCATGCAGACACTGAACTTTCCTCATAGATATTCATTGATTCAATTGATCTCTATGAGGAGATGCTGATTGGCCAGGGCTGTGTTTGAATCATGTTGGCTCTGCCCCTGATCTGCCTCTTTGTCAGTCTCAGCCAATCCTATGGAGAAGCACTGTGATTGGATCGGGCTACCACTTCTGATGATGTCAGCAGACTGCTTGTTTTTTTTGTTGTCGAGGCAAACAGCATGCAGAGTTACAGCTTCTGGCTTGAATACAGTAAGATTTTGCTATATTCATGGAGGCATGAGGGGCCCAGATGGTGTTTTTAACACTATAGGGTCAGGAATACATGTTTGTGTTCCCGACCCTACAGTGATCCTTTAAATAAATACAATATTAATAGTGTATTGAGATGTTAGAAAAGAGAATAAATGTTCCACTAAATAAATTTGTAGTGAACTGAAAACAAAACTGCAAAATTTAGCTGAAATAGCCAAGCTGGGCCTACAGCGCAGAGGAAAACATTTTTCTAATTGGCATTTTAGGCCTAATATGACTTTCACTTTACTATAATTCAGTAAATAAACTCTAACATATATACAGTGTCCGAGTCATAAGGTATGTAAGAAGATCCCTAACTGCAGATGTAAACAAAGAATAGACAGAGGTAGATCAGATGGCTGAAATCCAGACCCACAGTGTTAAAATCTGAGCCGAGATGCTTCAGATCTGGACGCAGGTTTAGTAAAAAAAAAACAGTAAAAACAAAAAAAACCTTGTTGGCCAGTGCTTGCTAGTCTCAGCCACCACCTTAAAAAAACTGAGGCCAAAATAGCTGATCTGGAACAATACTCCAACTCATGCATAATCACAACTATTTTTTCCATTCAGATTGAATGGGCAAACATTTGAAGTTTAGTGTCTCACCCTCTGTCTTCCATCATAGTGTGTTGTTCCCGCTGTGTGTGTGTCTGGTGTCTGCTGACCGTATGTTCGTGTGTGTCATCTATTACTCTCACTCAAGCCAAATCTTTTCTAAACTTTATTGCGACCCAATACACGGAGCACATGCCTCAGACCACAACCTCACTAATCTCTACACATTGTCAAAAATTGCCAAAGATCAAGCTCACCATTACAAAAAGTAGTGTCTACTTAACTAAAAAAACAAAACAAAACACATTAATACATAGCAAAACCTGCAAAGTGACACAGCTGCTTTAAACAAACATCAAAGCCGGAACAGACAGAGCTTCTTCAAAGTACTTTAATGTCCTATACAGCTCATCCCTAATTCCCAGGGTAGGATTTCATTGACGAGACAAATCCATAAAGGGACACTCCAGTGCCAGGAAAACTGCAGGTTCCCTCTCCCTCCCACCTCCCATCCCAGGTTGCTAAAGGGGTTAAAACCCCTTCAGTGACTTACCGGAGTCCAGCGCCGATGTCCCTCGGCGCTGTTCCAGGGTCCGTCCACGCTCCTCCCCCGCTGTCATCCGGCGGGGGAGACCGACTGCGCATGCGCGGCCGCTGGTGGGGTGAGACCTACTGCATTAGACCTCCCCGTAGGAAAGCATTGAAAAATGCTTTCAATGCTTCCCTATGGGGATTTTTGGCAATGCTGGAGGTCCTCACATAGCGTGCGGATGTCCAGCGACGCTATAGCACAGAAATCTGTGCTAGAAACCCGGAAGTGCCCTCTAGTGGCTGTCTAGTAGACAGCCACTAGAGGAGGAGTTAACCTTGCAAGGTAAATATTTACAATTGCAGGGTTAAGGGTAGTGGGAGTTGGCACCCAGACCACTCCAATGGGCAGAAGTGGTCTGGGTGCCTGAAGTTTCCCTTAAGTGGAAATCAGACAAGTTGCTAAATGCAGCATGAAGAATGTTGCAAGGTAATTGTTGAGAATTTAAAGTGAATTTTACATTTTAGTTCAATACTGACGAATCATAAGAATTCTCCAAGTGAGGTTTGCTTTCATTCTTACGTTGCCATAAAATTTTAAATTCTGACATTCTGGTAGTACGGCTACTTTGATAATTGGTGGATTGAAGTAAACTTTTCATCTACTTGGCTGAGATCATCAGAATTGACAATCTCAGCCAATCCAATACTTTCCTATGGGAAAGCATTGTGATTGGCTGAGTTCATCACGTCTTCAATTCTCCTATAGGAAAGCATTGATTTTATGAGACGTTACAAGATTTTCCGGTGTCGGCTCAGTATTGTGCAGGACGGGGGGATTGGTCACCTCACCCGTCCAGCAATAAGTGTGTCCCAGAGGACCCCAACAGGCAAATTATGCTCGGAGCGCACGCAAAGCATGTCCAGCCGCCATGAAGCTCAGGCCCCAACCCTTCAAATTGAATTTCAAACTTAAAGCCAGAGCAGCCAATCTGAAAGCGTTGCTGAGAGTTTTTCCAATTTGTCTATTTTCAACTGAAATGTGAAATTATGTCGTGCAGTCCAGACGCATGGAAACTCTGAGGGCTGAGTGAGGAACATAACAGAGATATTGGCCAGCTCCTATCCCAAGCAGGCAGGCCCAAGATGGCGGACCTCCTGCCAGACTCGGCACAGGATTCCCTGTCAGCCTCTGAAGACGAAGACATAGGACTTTTGGCTGCTTCAAATCCACTCAGCAAGGGTAGGGCTGTGCCTTCCAAGAGACCCGAACCCCCCCTGGCTACTAAAGCGGATCTCAAAAACATGTTGTCAGAGCTCAAGGCCTTCTTTGCTTCGGAGTTGGCTGTGCTGAAGGAAGACCTCAACAATCTAACAGGCCGGATGAGGGCTACAGAGGAAGATGTCCACGACCTAAAAATTAAGAAAGACACCTAAACGTCTCTATTGCAGGAATTCTCTACTACTTACTTGCAACTAAGCGCCAAGGTTGGGCAATTGGAGGACACAGCAAGGCAACGCAATTTAAAGATGCGGGGGATCCCTGACACCACAGACGCAGCAGAGCTGCCTCAGTATGTTTGGAGGCTGTTTTCCGCCACTCTGACACCCAAACAGGCTAAAGGCCTATCCTTGTACGGACTCTATTGATTACCGGGGTGATCTCACAAAGTGACCCCCACATCTAAAGATGTAATTCTATGCTTCAAGTCACGGAGTGATAAAGAGGGTTTGTTATGGGCAGTCAGAGGGCAAATCCCTTCTTTCTTTGAACACCAAGTTTTTTCCAGGACTTAAGTCGCCAGACGCTACAATGGCGAGCTTCCATCAAAGGAGTAACCTCACAACTGCCTGCCGCATCTATCCAATACAGATGGGTGTACACGAGAGCCCTCATTGATGAAAAAGATGGCCACCGTTACCGGCTGACATCAATGTCGGAAGCCACCTCGTTCCTGCAATTGCTGGGACTTACACTGACATGACCGGTTCATCAATGGGACGTGGCTGATTTAGTGGCTGATTAGTCTGTCATCCATTTTGCCTCCATCTGGAGCACGAATGCTTGCCCATGATCCAGAGCCAATTTCATGCCCCCCCCCCCCAGCTCTAGGGTTATGGAGCTCATTAACCCTACTGTCTAAAGCACCATGCCTCTGACCTGAGAGGCTAATTGTAGATACTCTTATACTCTCCATATAAAGTATTGTATGCCCACTATCCCTGCTACCTCACTTAGCAGGCCTTACTTAAGTCCTCCACATTATGGTTTTTCACACCTACCATCCCGTGGTCCAACCTCCGAGAGTGGTGCGCTCTAGCTAACACAACTCACAGGGAGGCATTGGGGCAATGAAGCATGTATTCTACTTACATAAACATTTAAAATGGGCTTGCACCTTTTATTTTATTTTTTGAAAATCTTTTTATTGAGATTGGTCACTACGTAGAAAGCAGTGAGTGGGTAAACAATGTGAAACTCGCAGGTTTCTATAGTATATTAGTACACAAAATAGAATACAATTAGATATGCAAATCTCCACATAACTTCCCCTAGAGAGACTCGTAGGTCTTCATGCAGGGTGAGTATGCGGTCGACATTTTAAAAGCAATATAATTATACAACGAGGGGAAACAGTGGTATCATATAAAATGGAACGGCTGTAACAAACAGGTTGCTTCCCTTAGCCAATATGTGCGTAAAGAGTAAACGGGAGTTGCGTCGGGAGAGGTCGTTCTCAGCTATTTATGGCGGGAGCCACATAACACTGTGTTACCTGGTCTTTCAAACGGGTAATTGAAGTCATTGTATGAAAGGCAAGCCACTGGCTCCCGCTAGGTTCGGGCCCGTAGGTCCGTGTTGGTGTCGCTAGGTGTATCCTAGCACGCAAAAATAGTGGGAGTATTCCCAGTTCGTGGCTAGCATGCGTGAAGGCCAGCGTCGTTACCAATCCTGGCAGAGCCTGCAATACGCTAATATCCCGTGTTGCGAGTTACATGTCGTTGGTATTGACAACGCGAGTGTCAATGTGAGTGAATGTGCTGCGTCATTGGTGTGTGTACCAGCGTTAGCATTTGGTGAGCGTGCAGTGGGTCCTTTCGGTGCACAACCATAAGTGATGAACACGTATTGTCCCTCACTTCGGTTTGTGCCACAGTAGTATGTGTATCTAAGAATATCTTGTGTTCCCCAAGCCATGATTTATCGTTCAGATCCTGCGGGGACTAAAAGCATACGTGACGTGAGGGTGTAGCAAATTGCACGTCTACTAATATTTCCCCCTAAGCCCCCTCCCTCAGCCCCGAGACCCGGAGCCCATTAGTTAAGTGATTGCAAAGGTGAAGAAAGATATGGAAGGAATAGGTATAAAAGAAAGGGAGATAGGGTGGGTTAGTCTGCGTCAAGTGGAACCAGCGTCTGCTGTCACTCCATTAGTGGGTTCAGGAGGATCTGCTCTTTGTCTGTATTGGGTAATGAATAGGAACCAAGGGAGCCACAGCTCCGTATGTTTCGTTTTACGGTCGGTCAGGGTGGCGTGAATGTCTTCCGCCCCATATATGTCTTCCACCCTGCGGATCCATTCTGTCTTCGACGGTATGTTGCGTTGTTTCCAAAGTGCCGGTATGTTAGCTTTAGCCGCGTTTAACAGGTGGCGTAATATAGATCTTTTGTACGTCCTAATGGGTTGCGTCGAGATGTGCAACAGGGCTAGCTCCGCGCTCCATTCCGGGATGTCTCCCAGGATGTCAATTATCGCTTCCTTAATCATCGTCCAGTATGGAACGATGTCCCTACATTCCCACCATATGTGTATCAGTGTGCCGCGTTCTGCCTGGCATCTCCAACACAGTGGGGTGATTGATGGGAAGATCCTGTGCAACAATATCGGGGTCCTGTACCATAATGAGAGCAATTTGTAGTTAACTTCCTGGTAGTACGAACTCATTGAGCTTTTCTGCTGCCACAGTAATGCCGTGTCCCATTGTGCTTGTGTGAGTGTCTTTCCGAGTTGTTCCTCCCATTGACGGCGAAAGGTGGAGGCCTGAGGTATATCCCCTATAAGTAAGTGTTGGTACATCGCCGAGATTGCGTGGTCTAGTGGGGTGCCCCGGATGCATAGGCCTTCAAACCAGGTGAGGTCGCGATGCAAGCGATCATTATGCGGCATCGAGTTATAGTAGTGTTGTAATTGAAGGTATCTGAGGATCGCAAGAGGGGTCCTAGGCTCTGTCCCCAATAAAGTGGTCAGGTCCCGTAGCCTACCCCCTTCAAGAACTTGATAGATGGGGACATAGTCCCTAGTGCCCGCGATAGGCCATGCCCCTGATGGTAGTCCGCCTCCCAAAGTCACATTATGCGTGATCGGAATCATGGGGCTGGGGGTAGGCGAGATGTGGCCCAGGTTCCTCAGCGACCTCCAGCCGAGCAGCGTATGTCGTATCAGGCCCCCTCTATTTTCGTTGGACACCTGACCCCTCACACCTCCCCATATCTCCATCTCAAGTGATGGTCCGAGTAGGCCTTTATCAAGTTCTACCCATTGTTTCGTTGTGGGGTCCTGGTGCCAGTCCAGTATCCGTTGCATCATCGTGGCTTGATGGTATTTCTTGATATCCGGGAGTGCGAGTCCTCCGTGATTTCTTGGCCGACAGAGAATGTCATATCGGATTCTGGAGCGATCGCCGCGCCATACAAATTTGATTATAGCCGTTTTCAGAGAGGAAAAGAAGATACTTGGTATGGCCAATGGGATTGTCTGCATAAGGTAGAGAATTCTCGGTAAGATATTCATTTTGAGTACTGCCACTCTGCCGTGCCATGTTATGTGAGGGTACGACCATCTATTCAAGTCCGTGACGATTGACTTCATGAGGGGAGTAAAGTTGATTTGATATATATCGTCTGGTGCCGTGGCCACCCAGATTCCCAGGTATTTCATTTTACCATAACACCAACGGAAAGGAAATTGTGAGTCGAGGGATGCGTATTCTTCGGAAGGAATCGTGATGTTCAAGACTTCACATTTTGAGAGGTTAAGTTTGAAACCTGAGATTTGACCAAATTTGTCGAATTCCGAGAGCAGGCAGGGTAATGTTGTCCTAGGGCTTTGCACAAAAAACAAGAGGTCGTCAGCGTACGCGGCTACTTTATGGTGTGTGTCTCGCCAGTTATAGCCCTGAATGTCCGGGTTTGAACGAATCGCCTGGAGTAGTGGTTCTAATGACATTGCGAACAGAAGTGGCGAGAGTGGGCAACCCTGACGGGTGCCATTACTTATCGTGAAGTCGGCAGTCGTGGACCCGTTTACTCTCACATTCGCGTGTGGTTTACTGTATAAAGCTGATATCCAAGTGAGGAACCTATGTCCACATCCCATTCGATGTAGTGTGGCCTTCATGTACGTCCAGTCGACTCTATCAAATGCCTTTTCCGCATCAGTTGATAAGAGGAGTAGCCGGGTTTTTGTTGCTCTGGCATGTTGTTGGACGGAGAACGGCCGCAGAGTGCTATCCCTAGCCTCCCGTCCCGGGATGAAGCCAATCTGGTCTACGTGAATCAGATCCGGTAGGAGGTGGTTGAGTCTGCTTGCAAGTACCTTGGTGAATAACTTGGCGTCTACGTTCAACAAGGAAATTGGGCGATAGCTTCCGCAGAGTAGTGGGTCCTTTCCCGGCTTAAGCAAAACCGTAATGGTCGCTGCCAGGGACTCCGCGCCCAGGTTCCCGCCTTCACCCACCGCGTTGATCGCTTTGGTCAACCACGGTAGAAGGAGATTGGAGAAACTCTTATAGTAACCAGTCGAGAAGCCGTCCGGACCTGGGGCCTTGCCCGATTTGGATACCTTAAGGGCTGCCGCTAGCTCCTCCGTGCTAATCAGTGTGTCGAGCTCGGCCGCCGAGTCTTGACCGATTGCGTTAGTGATCGTGTCGGACAAATAGTTTGTTATTCGTGTGTCGTGGCTTGCTTCGAGCGTTGTCCGATGGGGAGGATATAAGTTATAAAGGTTTTGGTAGAAGGTCCGAAACTCATCAGCTATCTTCTGTGGGAAGGGGGTCACCTCACCCGAGGCCAGTCGTAGTTGTCGTATTTGCCTGCGGGGCGTAGGGCCCTTGAGCAGCCTAGCCAGGTATCTCCCCCCATTATTAGCGTGGGCATAGTAGAATCCTTTCGTGCGTTGTAGACTGCGAAGGTGTTTTCGTGTGATGAGGTCTTTAAGTTTCCTCCTATGTTCCATCAGTTCCCCGTAGACCCCGGTCAGTTGTGACCGTTTGTGTTGGCTCTCCAGCGAAGTTATCTTCTGATATAAGTCGGTCATCTCAGTCATAGTTGCTTTTCGTTTTTGCGACGCCAAGCGGATAAATATACCACGAATGACACTTTTGTGGGCCTCCCACACGGATATCGGGGATGCGTCAGGCACGTCATTTTCCCTGAAGTAGTGTTCCAGTTCCTGATGTATTTGGTCTTTTGTAGTGGGGTCCAGCAGCAGCGCCTCATTGAGTCTCCATGTCCAGGTCGATGGTCGGAACAAGGGGGATTCTAGATCCATCCAAACCGAGCCGTGATCTGACCACGTAGCTGGGTCTATGTCGGATCTAAGGAGGTGGGAAAGTCCCTCTTGTGGGATGAAGAGGTAGTCTATGCGCGAATACCGGTTGTGGAGGGCGGAGTAGTAGGTGTAATCCTTCACCGATGGGTTAAGTGTCCTCCAGCAATCAGCCAATCGTAGGTCTTCCAGTGATCTCCGAATAGAACGTATGTTGCTCTGCGGGATGCAGCTATGTCCCGTCGAGGAATCTAGCACTGGGTCCAGGGGCACATTGAAGTCTCCCCCCACGATCAGGATACCATCCGTAAAGTCCTCCAGGATGTGGAGCGTATTGCGAAGAAAGGGTGCTTGCCGTCGGTTGGGGACGTAAATGCTGGCCAGGGTGTATACCTTATCAGCTATGATACCTTTTAGGAAGAGGTATCGTCCTTGGGAGTCTTGCGCGCGTTCAAGTTCCTTGAATTCAAGCTCGGCAGCCAGGATGATGGCTGTGCCAGCTTTGTGGGCCGTCGAATGGTTGGAGAAAAAGTTGTCAGGGTAGTGTCTATTTTTTAGTGGAGGCGCTGCGCCCTCTTTGAAGTGGGTTTCTTGGATCATAGCCACTGATACGTGCTTTTTCTTCAGTTCCCTCAAGAGGTGTGATCTGCGTTCAGGTATATTGAGGCCTCTGCAGTTTTGTGTAAGGACCCTTAGGGGTGTATTTTGGTATGCCATTCCCAAAGCGTGGTCCAAGTATACCTTTATATCCCCACTGTGTTAAGATTTCCTATGTCCCTGGAGGAAACCGTCAGGTCACGCGGCCTTGACACAGATCAATGCAGGAAGGGTAAAGGAGGTGGAGAGGGAAGAGAGAAATGGGAAGAGAGGAAGGATAATGGCAGATGCTCTAGGAAGGTAGGTTTGGACTCCGGATCTCTGAGAGGAAGCCCGCCCAGGGTCAATGTGGTGAGACGAGGTTGGAGCCCGTGTATCGGGCAGCTACTCTAGTGTCGGGTTATCCCGAGTGTAGTGCCTTATGGAGTGGTGTAAGTAGTGAGTTTCGTGCTGCAACCAGTACTAGTGGTACCTCGCCCCGGTGCCTGCCCAGTGGGCGAGAGCAGCCACAGCCTGGCTGCCCAACTCGTAGCACGAGAGTGTATTGTGGGAAGCGCGCGTCAGGCTCTGCCCAAGAGAATTGGTAAACCAAACAGTGGAACCGTCAGCCCCACCCGACCCCCGTCAACTAGTGTCGAGCCAAGTAGGTCAGTCTGCAGTTGTCTGGTGCTCTCTGTTGCTCTGGAGTTTGTCTCGGGAGCGTGGTAGATTGGTTAGGCATCAGCTACTGTTCCCGTCCCAGAACCCCCAGGTCCCTCATATGTCCCCAGGGTGGAGGAGTCGCCCCAGGTTCGCGGTCTATTGCTATCTGGATCTCAAAAATTCAGCTGTATGTGTCCCGGTGAAGCAGGAGTGAGGGGGGTGGAGGGGGGGCAGCGATACCATTACGTTCAATAATGACCATATGGGGACTAATTGCGGGATATCTTTGTCAGTCAACAGTTGTCCTCCCTAACTACTCGTCTGGCGGGAAGAGTCTGCCATTTCCCACTAGAGCATCAGTTGGTGACTCGGGTCTATGTTTGGTCAGCACGGGGCCAAGTATATGAGAAAAAAAATAAAAATAAAAAAATAAAAAAATAAAAAAGGGAAAAAGGGTGCTAGAACGGTCCCATAGGTAAAACATGCAGCAATAATAAAACTTGATGCAACATTATATCAACAGCATTCCCCGGTGTTCCCACCCCACCCCCCAACCAATAATACCCCCCTGCCCCCTACGCCTCTCAAATCACATATGGTGGGTCAAGGGACTCTCTTGGGCCAAAAACTGCCACCGCCGTACAGCTCTCTATGAGCGGGAGGTGGGGGGGGGGGTCCAGCCACTAATCTATCCCGCTGTATTCCCATCTCACAGGATCCAATCGAGAAGTAGAAACATACCAATAGTTGCACAATAAACCACCCCACAAGCCCCCCACCCCGTATCCCACATACTTAAGTATATGCTAATATATATATACAATTAGATTAGGAAGAAGAAAAAAAAAAAAAACACAGACATTTATAATTATGGTTACTTAATAACGTGGGTACCAGGAGTCTCGGTGTGCAGTTCGAAGCTCAAAATGGTCCTCACCTTTACCCGAAGAGCCCCCCTCCCCAAAACAATTAAGCCCGGTTCCCAGCAGTGAAGCTTCTATAAGGTGAAGAGGGCAGCAGGGTAGTCCCAGGGAGAGTCACCCGGCGGAGCCAGAGCAATTAGGAGCACGCCCATGGGCCTGTGCCCCGGACCCTTAAATACCCCCAGACCCCCCCCAAAAGGTGGCTCACCTTATCCGGAAGCCCCAGCAATGTCCAAACAGACCGTGGGGGTTGGTGTCTCCGTCTCCACAAAAGTTCTCAAGAGTAATAAAAAAAAAAAAAAAAAAAGGGGAGGGAATAAGACCAAAGCTAGACTGGGGGGTCACCTGCGTTAGGGCGTAGGGAAATCAATATCCGCCTGAAAGATCCGCACTCACTCTTCTGGGGAAGCCGGATTTCGGCGCCGTCTGGCCGGGTGAGCGGAGGGGGAGCGAGCTTCCCTCCGCCTAGGCATCCTCTGCGGTCTCGGTACGGGGGCCGTCGATCCCAGGATCCAATTGGGGACGACAGGTGTTGGAAGGCCCAGTTCCTCCATGAACCGCGGGACATCCTCAGGCCAGCGCATGGAGATCCAGCTGTTATGGTGCCTGGCCAGTAAAGCAAAAGGGAACCCCCACTTGTAGGATATGTTGCGGTCCCTCAATGCGGCTGTCACGGGAGGGAGAGCCCGCCGGGCTTGCAGCGTGATCGGGGACAAATCATTATATAAGGCCACTTGCGCACTTCGATAGGGCCATGTTGGTCTTTCCCTGGCCTTCCTCATGATGGTGTCTTTTACAGGAAAGGAGTGAAGGCAGCAAATGAGATCTCTCGGGCCGTCTTCCAGGGACCTAGGTCGTGTGATTCTATGTGCCCGCTCGAATTCTATATGTTCCGGCTGATGTCGGCTGCAGGATTGTCTGGAAGATTTCGGTGAGTATTTCCACGACATTTTCAGCCGTACTGTCATCTTCAGGCACTCCCCGGATGCGTATATTACACCTCCGACCCCTATTATCCAGGTCCTCGAGGTGTCTTCTCATTGATAGGAGCAGCGTACCTTGGCGGGCTATTGCTGTATCCGCGGACGTTTGGCGCGCCGTGAGGGCCTCAGCCGCCTCCTCCATGCTTGTTATGCGGCCCGCATGAGATGCAACCTCAGAGCGGATACCCGCCATTTCAGCTCTCAGAGTGTCCTGGATGGCTGTGGTAAGAGACTTCAGGTCATCTTTTGTGGCCATAGAAGCCGTCAGACTCCCCAGCCTGTCCTCAATCCTCTCTAAGACGGAGCTTTCCGGCCCCGGCGGTGTGGTCGGCGCCATCTTGGGGCTTCCCCCCTCCCCGCTAGCACCTGGTTGTGGGTGAAGAAACCCGTCCAGGGGGCCCTGCTGGAGGTTCCTGGGGGTCTGTGGTTGCTCCGGGCGTTTGTTGCGACCCATTTGGCTGTGCGGTAAGCTATTACGAGGGCTTATCAGGGTCGGGTGGAGCGGAGCTCTCCTTCTATGCGGCCATCTCGGTCAGCGCCGTAACCACGCCCCGGCTTGCACCTTTTAGACAGGGTTGAAACTCACAATCCACTCAAGTCTTTTCATTATTGCTTTGCACAATGTGTTTGTTGATACTGGTCTATTGAATGAGATAACTAACATTTGATGTGGTTTGTCATAGTTTCAGACTTTCAACACTGTACTATTACCATTTGTCTAATCTCTGCCTTAATAAAAAAAAATAAAAAAAATAAAAAATATAACTTTAGTGAATAACCCTGAGAGACTGTCCATATATGGCCACCAAATCTGGGAGTATTATGAAATGTGCTTTAGTGGTTAGGGTACCAGAATGCTCTTGGTGCTATCCCCCCCAGTTCTGTTTCAAACAAACAATAGGTCTGACATGTTTCCACAGAGGAGGTGCAACTGGCTGTAAAAACAGCCCTTCCACTTTGTAAAATAGATTATGCAGATTATGAATAAAACAATACAAATGAATATAGCTGAATATACATGAACTGTGAAATATTGTCCAAACAGGAGTCCATACTAGCACATTATCAGTGGTTTAACCCCTTAAGGACCAAACTTCTGGAATAAAAGGGAATCATGACATGTCAAACATGTCATGTGTCCTTAAGGGGTTAAAAGGAAGGTTAACTAAAACAACACAAAACTTACCTCCCAAACACACCTGGTTTGTAAGTGTATCATTAGAGGCACTGCTCAAACTGCGCTCAGGACATTCCCTGCAAAGAGCTTCAATATCAATACATTCTAATAGCTTCTGCGCTACATTCCAATGGCCTCTAGAGGGCGCACCCCTGTGTCCAATACTGGCATAGATATTTTTGTACCTTGTGTGGGCCCGTTCAGGGCGAGCTAATCATGTGATCAGCAGGTAGGCGTGGTTCACCCAGTACCCGGAAGTAGTAGAGAAGTACCGGGGAGCGGAGGTGAAGAGCGCTTCTCGGGTAATAAAGACTCTGTCCCTTTAATAGGGTGTAAGGTGTGCCCGGCTGCATGCATTGTGTGGGGCTGTCCGCAGCCTGTGTGTGTTGTTACTGGGTATGAGGAGCACTGAGCACACTGACAGCCAGGGGAGTCCATGTTTACAGACCTGACCATGTGTGTTCTGTGTGTAAATATAGCCCACTGTGTGCACTTGGTCATACTCACTTACTGAGCACGTCATGCATTCAGTGTCTCAATAGAATGCCTGAAAACATAAAAGATGCATTGCTGTTTGTTTAATGAAAACTTGTTGTTTTTTTTGTTTCTAACTTTTGAACATACAAGGAAGTGTGGGTTAAAGTATTTATTTATTAAAGGTCCACTATAGTGCCAGGAAAACAAACTCGTTTTCCTGGCACTATAGTGTTAATAGGTCCCCCACCCTCAGTGTCCCACTCCCGCTGGGCTGGATGGGGAGGAAGGGGTTAAACACTTACCTTTCACCAGCGCCGGGCAAGAGCTGCGCACGCTTTCAAACCGCCCATAGGAAAGCATTTCTCAATGCTTTCCTATGGACGTCAGTATCTTCTCACTGTGATTTTCACAGTGAGAACCGCAGAAGCGCCTCAGTGAGACAGCCACTAGAGGCTGGATTAACCGTAGTGTAAACATGTTTACAGCTGCAGGGTTAATCCTAGAGGGACCTTGCACCCAGACCACTTCATTAAGCTGAAGTGGTCTGGGTGCCTATAGTGGTCCTTTCAATTATATAAAATATTTTACCAGGAATGTTTCTCTCGTTTTCAAGTATGCCCTGGGTGCACATACATTGCATGTTACAGTAAAGTACAATATTATACTAAAAATACAAATACGTATAATTTAATACAGAACAGGTAAATGTAGTAAAAATGTCCATAATAAATATATATCCATATATAGAGGCGGTGGAAACCTAGACATCGCCACATGTTATAAAACTGGGAATTGTATTTATACAGTACCTGGAGATTACCTTATGCTAATACATGACTCCTAAGTGCTTCACTGCCAGTGTTTTTGATTCAATACAGAAATCAAGTTAATAAAGACTTACTGCTTTGAAATAATATGGGACGAATAAAATGCTTTACTTAACATTTGTCAAATTTTTATTTTTTTTATTGGGGAGGGCAGCAAGATGGCGTTAATAAGAATAAATTAAAATGGGGAAATACACTGGGAGGGGGAAAAAATGTGTTATAAGGCTATGTACACCTTAAAGTGGTGTTTCAACATTTTCCAAATCAAGTAATTATAGTTATTTACAGTTACAGGGACACTGTAGTCACCCAGACCACGTCATGTATGTGGCCCTCTCATTTTAACCCTGTAGTGCAAAGCATTGCATTTTTTTCTCTTTTCTCAAAGAAATTGCAATGTTTACATTGCAGGGTTAAACCAACCTCTAGTGGCTCTTAGTATGTCATCTGCTAGAGGTGCTTCAGCTGTACTGAAAGAGTGAAACTCGGTCACGAAGTCCCTGTAGGAAAGCATTGATTCAATTCAAAAATTTAAAGTGGGAGAGACAACAATAACAAAAAGCATGTTCAAAAGGTTTCCAGTTATGCTATTTAGTGATGATATCAAGTAACTAGCCAAGAAGTTAGCGAAAATAACTTCAGTGTTCAATAATATGCACAAAAGAATATAAGCAGAATTGTCTTATAAAGGGGTAGCCTAAAAAACATCGTAGCATGCATTAGTGGTTATGGTGCCAGTAGTGTCCTGGCTCTGTCCATATAAGTAGTCAAATCATTTGCTAACGTTTATCAACTTAACTGGGGTCTACCATTAAGAGTTGGAGGCTCCATGCTGGGACCTTCCATTTGTTCTTCTCAGGTAAACCCTGTGTACAGGACTTGCTCATTACTCACAGCCAATGAGCTAAGCCCTGCACTGCTGGGCTTAGCTCAATGCAGAAAGATTCTGTCTGCCATGGAGGAGGTGACATGCAGACCCCAGATAAGTTGTTATATCCTTAGCAAACTCGTTGTCTACTTACACTGGAGGGGTGACAGGGCACTTCTGGCACCATAACCATTACGGTGTGTTGTAGTGGTTATGGTGCTTGGAGTGTTCGTTTTATATGTACTCTCTGCCCTGGTACTTGAAAGGCTAGTTTTACTCTAGTTTTACTCACATGTCTGTGAGAAGGGGATTGGAGTCCCAGCTCCACAAACAAACATAAAAATTGGAACCAACACGTATATTAGATGTTAACTCAACTAGTCCTCCACATTAGTGATATATTTTGAGCTTTGTTATTAAGGATCAAAGTTGTGAACCCTCCCGTACCATCGGTTTAACTGTAACTTGATGTTTGTGCTTTATAGACATCACATAGAAGCACTATAAGCAGGCATATCTTGTACATTCATGTTTCAAAACACTCCTTATTCAGTTCTTCAAGTAACATAACCAATACATCACCCTGTAATGGTCATGGTACCAGGAATGCCCTAGGGCTGTTTCACAATAAACAGTCAAATAGCTATAGAATTATTTGACAACTTACTTGGGTTTATCCTGCAGGAGAACCTAATGTTTCTATAGAGCTATGCCGATCCAGGGCCGTGTTTATTGGTAGGGAATGCGGTCCTGCATGGCCCTGCTTAGCATAAGGGAGCCTACTGGAAGTGAGCAGACTGGATGCAGTGTATGCAGCCAGTGGGACACAGTTAAAAATTTTTGACTACTTACCTTGGGCGCTCCTGCCACCATATCTACTACATTGGGCTGGTTATTGTCCCTGGGGTGTCCTTTTAACCAAGGTTTTGTAAACTTTTCACAACTCTGGGTCTTTTAGATTAGAGGCTCCAAAAGAAAAACACAATTGTAAGTATATATCTGAAGTTTGCACGTTTCATTAGCATTGATAGCTGCAATATGTTGCTTTTATGTTTTTTTTTTGTAATTATTTTGGTCAAGTGTAAAATCTATTTAGAACCAGCAAATGTATTTTCAGCATATTTTCATTTTTTGATTTTAGGTTATAATTTTGTGTCAACCACTTTAAGTGAAACAGAATCTTTATGAGGTATCCTATCTGCTGGAAGAATGACAGATGACAAAGATGTCCTTCGAGATGTTTGGTTTGGGAGAATACCGACTTGCTTTACATTATACCAGGATGAACTAACAGAGCGAGAAGCTGAACCCTATTATGTAAGTGCTGTTCTGCCAGCTAGCATTATCAAATAACAAATAATTGTCCCAATATATACATTAAAATGCAAATATCAACATATTTTAATTTTTGGGATAAAATATGAAACCATTTTCAAGCTGTCTTGGAGCTAAACTGTGCTCTCTACAACAGCATGACTAATGTATAAGTGAATGTTCACACTAGCTGTCCAAATTTATGTGACCATGATAGTCTGAGGTCACACACATTTTCTATTCAAACCACTCCTAGAATAAATATCCACATATAATTTTTTTTTGATTTTCCAAGTCGATCACCTACTTAGGGGTCCACTTGTCGACTAACCTATCATCCATCTTTGATCTAAATTTTTAACCGCAATTTCAATCCATATCTAAAGTCCTTGTTTCACGGCACAAGCCACAATTCAATTGGTTGAAGACACTCCCACAACCTTACAGTTATTCCGATAATCTCAACATCCAACTCAAAACAGTCTTTACACCGATACACACTGCCTCGATTTGTAACACTCCACTTCCAAACTATACAAGCTGTTCTCTAATACCCTGGACATTTGCTGCAAATGCACCCAACCTGGATCATCCCTAGCCCACACCTGATTGCACTGTCCACTGATCTAAAAGTACTGGTCCAACGTAGTAAAAATGATCAAAATAGTAACAGGACTTCGACTGCTACACACATAACTTCCTGATATGCCCCTGTACCTACCCTAAACCTCAACGTATTCTTCTCATTCACCTCCTCACAGCTGCTAACCTACTCATCCCCACAAAATGGAAAAACTTCAACATTCCATTCTTTAGAGCAGTGAAGGCGAACCTTTTTGAGCCCGAGTGCCCAAACTGTAATACATGACAATTTTTTTTTTCCTCAAAGTGCCAAAACGACAATTAAACCTGAATACTGAGGTTTAAGTTTAGAAAAAAACAACTCATACAGTTGTCCAAACTAATTAACATCTCTGTGTGTGTATTAAGCAGTTTGTGTGTGTGCTCGGCAGTCTGTCTGTATGTGTATTAAGCAGTCTGTCTGTATGTGTATTAAGCAGTCTGTCTGTATGTGTATTAAGCAGTCTGTCTGTATGTGTATTAAGCAGTCTGTCTGTATGTGTATTAAGCAGTCTGTCTGTATGTGTATTTAGCAGTCTGTCTGTGTACTTAGCAGTCTGTCTGTATTTAGCAGACTGCTGAATATACACACAGACTGCTGAGTACACAGACTGTTAAATACACACACACAGACTGCCGAGTACACACACACACACACAAACTCCTAAATACACACACACAGACTGCTGATTACACACAGACTGCTGATTACACACAGACTGCTGATTACACACACAGACTGCTGATTACACACACAGACTGCTGATTACACACACAGACTGCTGATTACACACACAGACTGCTAAATACACACACACAGACTGCTGAGTATACACACACAGACTGCTGAATACACACACACAGACTGCTGAGTATACACACACAGACTGCTGAGTACACACACACATACTGCTGAGTACACACACACACAGACTGCTGAGTACACACAGACTGCTGAGTACACACAGACTGCTGAGTACACACAGACTGCTGAGTACACACAGACTGCTGAGTACACACACACACACAGACCGCTAAATACACACACAGACTGCTGAGTACACACACACAGACTGCTGAGTACACACACACACGGACTGCTAAATACCTCACACACACATACTGCTGGAGTACACACACACACACACAGACTGCTGAGTACACACACACACACACAGACTGCTGAGTACACACACACACAGAATGCTAAATACTCACACAGACTGCTGAGTACACACACACACACACACACACAGACTGCTGAGTACACACACACACAGATCAAGCTGAGTACACACACACACACACAGACTGCTGAGTACACACACACACACACAGACTGCTGAGTACACACACACACACACAGACTGCTGAGTACACACACACAGAGACTGATGAATACACATACAGACAGACTGCTGAGTACCCACACAGACTGCTGAGTACACACACACACAGACTGCTGAATACACACACACAGACTGCTGAGTACACACACACACAGACTGCTGAGTACACACACACACACAGACTGCTGAGTACACACACAGCTGAGTACACACACAAACTGCTAAATACACACACACAGACTGCTAAACACACACACACAGACTGCTGAGTATACACACACATACTGCTGAGTACATACACACACATACTGCTGAGTACACACACACACATACTGCTGAGTACACACACAGACTGCTGAGTACACACATACTGCTGAGTACACACACACACAGAATGCTAAATACTCACACAGACTGCTGAGTACACACACACAGACTGCTGAGTACACACACACACACACACAGACTGCTGAGTACACACACACACACACACACACAGACTGCTAAATACACACACACACACACGACTGCTAAATACACACACACACACACATACTGCCAAGTACACACACACACATACTGCTGAGTACACACACACACATACCGTTGAGTACACACACACAGAATGCTAAATACTCACACACAGACTGCTGAGTACACACACACACACAGACTGCTGAGTACACACACACACACAGACCAAGTTGAGTACACACACACACACAGACTGCTTACACACACACACACACAGACTGCTGAGTACACACACACACACAGACTGCTGAGTACACACACAGCTGAGTACACACACAGACTGCTGAGTACACACACACACACACAGACTGCTAAATACACACACAGGCTGCTGAGTACACACACACTGCTGAGTACACACACACACACAAAGACTGCTGAGTACACACACAGACTGCTGAGTACACACACATACACAGACTGCTAAATACACACACACAGACTACTAAATATACACACACAGACTGCTGAGTATACACACACATACTGCTGAGTATACACACACACATAATGCTGAGTATACACACACACATACTGCTGAGTACACACACACACAAACTGCTGAGTACACACACACAGAATGCTAAATACACACGCATACTGCTGAGTACACACACACACACACACACACACAGACTGCTGAGTACACACACAGACTGCTGAGTGTTCACACACAGACAGACTGCTGAGTGTACACACAGACAGACTGCTGAGTGTACAAACACTGCATTGAGGGGTACAGTGTATGTGTTTGTGTGTAGGGTGATGTGTGTGTGTGGGGTGATGTGTGTGTGTGGGGGTGGTGTGTGTGTGTGTGTGGGGGGGTGGTGTGTGTGTGTGTGTGTGTGGGGGGGGTTGGGTGATGTGTGTGTGTGTGGGGAGTAATGAGGTGGTGTGTGTGGGAGTCAGAGTAAGTGTGTGTGTGTCAGAGGTGATGTGTGTGTGTGTGTGTGTGTGTTGGGTGATGTGTGTGTGGGGTGATGTGTGTGTGAGGTGAAGTATGTGTTTGTGTGGGGTGATGTGTGTGTTTGTGTGGGGTGATGTGTGTGTGTTTGTGTGGGGTGATATGTGTAGGACAGGGGTGTTGTGTGTATGTCGTCGTCCCCCCCACACTGTTTTCTTTCCCCCATCCCTCCCTCAGTTTTCTTTCCCCCATCCCACACTCAGTTTTCTCCCCCCATACCTCCCTCAGTTTCCTCCCCATCTATCCCTCAGTTTTCTTCCCCCCTGCCATCTCTCCCTCAGTTTCCCCCCACACACACAGACTGCTAAATACACACACACAGACTGCTGAGTACACACACACAGACTGCTAAATATACACACACAGACTGCTGAGTATACACACACAGACTGCTGAGTACACACACACACATACTGCTAAGTACACACACAAACTGCTGAGTACACACATACACAGAATGCTAAATACACACACAGACTGCTGAGTACACACACACACAGACTGCTGAGTACACACACACACACTGCTGAGTGTGCACACACAGACAGACTGCTGAGTGTACACACACAGACAGACTGCTGAGTGTACACACACAGACTGCTGAATGTACACACACTGCATTTATGGGTACAGTGTATGTGTTTGTGTTTAGGGTGATGTGTGTGTGTGGAGGGTGGTGTGTGTGTGTGTGGGTGGGGTGATGTGTGTGTGTGGGGGGGGTGATGTGTGTGTGTGGTGATGTGGGGTGGTGTGTGGGTGTGTGGGGTGTGTGTGTGTGGGGTGATGTGTGTGGGGTGATGTGTGTGTGGGGTGATGTGTGTGTGAGGTGAAGTGTGTGTTTGTGTGGGGTGATGCGTGTGTTTGTGTGGGGTGATGTATATGTGTGTGTGTGGGGTGGTGTGTGTGTGTGTGTCTTTTTGTGGGGTGATATGTGTAGGGCAGGGGTGCTGTGTGTATGTCGTCCCCCCTCTCCCCCCCTGTTTTCTTTCCTCCCATCCCTCCCTCATTTTTTTCTCCCATCCCACACTCAGTTTTCTCCCTCCCATCTCTCCCTCAGTCTCCCCACACAGACTGCTAAATTACACACACACAGACTGCTGGAGTACACACACACAGACTGTGTTTGTCTGGGGTGATATGTGTAGGACAGGGGTGCTGTGTGTATGTCATCCCCCCTCCCCCCACTGTTTTCTTTCCCCCCATCCCTCCCTCAGTTTTCTTTCCCCCATTCCACACTCAGTTTTCTCCCCCCATGCCTCCCTCAGTTTCCTCCCCATCTCTCCCTCAGTTTTCTTCCTCCCTCCCATCTCTCCATCAGTTTCCCCCCATCTCTCCCTCGGTTTCTTCCCCTCCCATCTCTCCCTCAGTTCCCCCCTCCCATCTCTCCCTCAGTTTTATTCCCCCTTCAATTTTCTTTCTACCCCCCATCCCTCCCTTAGTTTTCATATACCAATATTATATATCTGCCTTCTGTGTCCAGTTTCTGATGGATCATTTTTAAAGAAATATTTTTAGAAAACAAAAAAGCTACTCCT